AACATGTACATATGAGCAAAAGACTTTCAAACATGACTTCTATTGCTAAAAGCAAGATCAAAACTAAAGATTGACCAAATTGTATAGAAGGAAGTAGGTATGAGTCATAACTCTGTCCAGTTAAAAAAGGATGTACGTTGTTAAAGACAGTGTTAGTAGAGGGAAGGCTATCATCTATCATGTAATCTAGACAATAGTCTCATAGAAGGCAACTTAAAGAGAAAAAAGTTGGCCGGAAACCATAGGTCAAAAGCCCAAGTGAAAAAATGGGCCTCGTTCCTTAACCCAGCAACAGATGCTTTCACATTAACAAGCCTCGGCCTGAAGCACTTCCTCAAAGATAAGGCACAACCCAATTCGAGGTTCTTTCAGGCTCGTCCAAAACTCATAAAACTGATGCTGCCTCACAACAAATTCGGAGCTCTTTTTGAATTGATTGATGTGACGTCTGCAATAAAATACCTGTAGTTTTAATCAATGTCAGCCTACTACTAGAACGGCTGACCATTAGTCAAACATTAAATGTAATGAGTGGACAGTGATGTGAAGCATCAGTTTAGGAGATGTCGCCACGTGGACTTGATCCGACGATCATCAAGTCGGCCAGAAAAGTATAAATAGTCACTCTCTGTATAGAAAAAGGGGACGATGGATTGATGCAAAGAATAGACAAACACAAGCTTATACAAACATTTGAACTCCTATTGAAAAGAAGAGAACTCATCTACTCATCATATCTATCCTTCCACATATTTCATTATCATTTTGTTTAAAGGAGATCATTGACAGTGTGATTATCCTGGAATCATATCGCCGGAACCTTAACATCTTTGTCTCTCGCCGGAAAGTGCCTCCCACGTTCACTACAGTTGGATTATCGTTCCTATTCCGGTAAAAACGTGTTGGATCCATACTTGACGTGGCAAGAGTAGGCCCGGCATCTGTTGAGTTCATTTTTTGGGGTCAACAGATTGGCGCCATTTGTGGGAAATACTTACATTTAACCACGAATACACGTGGAAAGAAAGGCCAGGTTACATTGCTAAAAAGATTGACGGAAAGAAGTGTTTGTCCTTGAAAAAGGAGCATCTTTACAGCAAGAACGACCAAGAACTTAAAACCCTTGAAGAAAGGGATAAAAAGTTGCTTACTAAAATAATCAAGGGATGAGTTCCATGGACGAGAATGCTCCTAGAAGAACGAGGGAACGCCCTGAAGAAGGGAAACCCTCATATGCTGTTCAGGCAGTCCGTCCTAGACCTCCAATACGCAGGATAGAAGGTTCTAGGGCCAGAGGGAGAGTAGCAGCCAGGCTAACGAGGGAAATGGTGACAATGGCAGCCAACATGAGAAATATCACTCAGCAGAACCTAGCCATGCAAGAAATGTTGATGAGCATGCAAGGATAAGGAGGCTATCAGACTCACCAATATACAGCCCCAGAAGATGTCTTTCCTAAAGCACAAGGATACTATCAAGAGGAAGAAGTATAAAGTCGAATGGCCGATCCTCCATATGCTGGGATGGAGGCTCCTCAAGAGAGAGATGCTGAAATGGACGCTTCGGTTAACCACGCCTCAGAGAGACCATATGAGGTCCCATTCAACCACCCTCCAAACTATGAACCAAAAAATCGACCCCAGAGGTCCAGAAGTGTTTTCGACAGGATAAGCTCAGGGGCACCTAGAGATAGGCAGGCCCATTCACCCCAAGTACTTAGAAATAGGCAAGCTTATTCTCCACTTCCTCCGACTAAAAGGAGGCAGCAGGAGCCTCATCAACCTAAGGATCTGCCGACGTACCATGAAGAGCCTTCAAATCTAAGAGAACCTTTAATCCGACCCCCTAAAAATAGGCGAGAAAGGAGAAACCAAGCTAGAAAAGACGCAGGAACCTCTCGGCCACTTCCTCAGGCACGCCAAAAAGATGATGGAGATTCAGATGGTCCTCAAAGATCCTGTGATTTGAATGATGACGATGACCAATCTTCCTTCTCAGAAGCCATAAGGAGTGCCCCCATGCTGAACCACTTCTCACTCCCTAAAATATCAAAGTACGATGAGAGAGGTGATACCGCAAAATACATGAACAACTACAAAACCCATATGAATTTGAAAGGGACCACTCCAGCAACGAAGTGCAAGGCTTTTCACTTAACTGTAAGTGGAGGCGCTGAAGTCTGGTACACCAGACTACCT